AATTAATCTTTAACTAACCTTAACTAATCTTTGTAAGGTTTAAAAGTGTGTCTTTTAATAATCTTCAGTATCTTTTGCATCTATTTCATAATTTAATAAGTTTCTTAATTGAATTACTTTTGATACCATTTGCATCCATTTTTCAGAATAAAATCTCAATATTTTTGTAGTTTTTTGTGATTCTACAAATATTTTGCTAAAAAAGCCATTACTTAAATTTCATTTCACTAGAATAATTTCCAGGAAGACACAGAAAAAAATGAAAGTGAAACATTAAAGGTCCTACACAAAATCTTTAAAATTGTGTAGCATTATTATTTTTGTTTGGGGATTTAAAATCTACATGATTCCATGTCAATGGGAACCCATGTTTTCATTACTATAAACATGTACATAGATGTAGAAATCCCTAATACTCCCTACCTCTTGGATTTATAAGGACTTTTAATATGTTCTAGAACCTCTATACAATCAATTCTGTTTTGATTTCTAAAGGCTGCCTTGTTTCTAACTAAGTGGATCTTTTTTTATCTTGTACAATTAAAGAACACTATTTTTGTAATTGTTGCTGTTCATAGAGTTTCTTGTTTTCTGGGAATGAATCTATGGAATAAAATTTTAAAAGTGGAATTCCTGTGTCAAACAGTATATTTAAAATTGATAGTATACATGGCTATGTTGCAGATTCAAGTATCCTACCAAACTCATTCAAACAACCAGTATTGAGAGATGTATTTTTGCCAACTTTTTAATGACTGGGTTATAATGACAATTCCTTCTTCTTTTTTATAAAGTAGGAATCAAATCCAAGGACTCATGCATGCTAGGCAAGTGCTCCACCACTGACCTACATCCCTGTACCCTCTAATAAATATTCTTCACTTTCTAATATGCCATTTAAATGTGTGTTTCTTTTAGTTTTCTTTTGTCTAACATTAGTGAGGCTAGCCTTATCTTTCCTACTGAAGAAACTAGTAGTATTATATATTTGTCTGAGAGAATTTGAAAAGAGTTCTTAATTTTCAGCATTTTTCTAATTAATTTTGGGTGAATGTCATTGATTCTATTTAAGTATCAATGATTAGTATGTTCAAAAGCATTAAGTGTCCAGTTTTATGTACTTTGTTTCTTCTTTGCCTCATTCACATCCACTTTTTTTATTCACTATTACTCATCCCAATCTGTTGTCTTGCTGAATCTTCAATTATGATTTCAAATCTTTGACCTACTAACATCTCTTTGTGACTCCATTTAGCACCATAACAATCAAGAACTCTGGATTCCCAGTGTAATCTGAACTCTCTTTCCAGATTCCAGGTTCACACTGCCCCCAAGCATTATTACTTTGCTGCTCTAGGAGAAACACTCTTGTAGTGTTAAGGCAAAAACATATCAGCAGTCAAAATTGGGTGAAACCTTGGTGGGGGGAGAAGATCACTGAATAGAGCTATAGAGTACCAGAAGAAAATGTACCAGAGGAAAAGATTCAGGAAGAAGAAACTACCTTTAGTCCAGGAAGAAGTCAGTGTCTGGAACTGCATTGGCAATAGAAGTCACAGTATTAATCCTGGAGCTTGGGATCTATCAAAGTTGTGCGCGGTTTCTCCAAAGAAAAAAAAAGAAAGAAAGGTAGAAGGAAAGAAGAAAGGAGGAAGGAAAGAAGGGAATGAGAGAGGGAGAGAGGGAGCCCTTCGAGATGAAATAAGAATGCCAAACTATGACTATATGAAAAGAGCTCAGGGTGAAAATTCAACCCAGGAGACATATACCATGTGCAAAGACAAACATAAATGTCAATCCAAGGGATTAGACTTTTATATCTCAACTTAAAAACCTATGAAATACCATCTCATGTGTTGATTTAAAACCAAGATACTCTATTCTTTTATACACTACAGGGAGTAATGTTTCTGATGCAAATTGAAGTTATCACTTGCATTTAGTCTTATCAAATAGATGCTATAATTATACAACTTATTGAATCCACTTTCTTTCCAGAGTTAGATACTAAATGCCTTAGCACATTTAGCTAGCAGAATCGTTTGTCATATATTCATTAGAATTACTTTACATGATTGTTCTTTTTCAGTTATTTCACAGGAGCAAATGTTTAGATCCATTTTGATATTTTGTAAAATATCACTGAGAAACAGTACTCCAGCTCCCTGAATATTAAATTGATTGTAAAGATAAATCTTGCAATATGTGTCAGGGTAGTACAGGCTTGTAATCTCAGTGACCTAGGAGGCTGAGGCAAAAGGATTACAGAATCAAGACAAGCTTCAGCAACTGCACTACATCATGTGTCAAAATAAGAACAAAAAACTATTGGGGATGCATCTTGTTATCTAAAAGTATTCAGGATGTATCTGATAAGGTTGTCAAAACCAGAGTATGATTTCAAGTTGAAACTTTTAAAAACCCAAGAAAAAGAAGGTACCAGGAAGGCCATCCTTAGCAGAGTTCATTGAAAGGCCCTTGACAGCAAAATATTCTGGGTGAAGTCTTCTGAAAGATCTATGCCAATGGGTGAATACCTAGGCCCAGAGTTTGGAGGTCTAGCTTCTGGGGTCTGTAGAGAGGCCTCTCAGTGAGTGCAGTCAAGTGTATAGAGGCTCCTGTGATCCAGATGGGGAGGCACCCCTGAAATAGTCGTGGGGGAAACAGATGACAGGGTGGCACATAAGATCATTTCTCATGTGGTTTCTCAAGGCTGCTCTGTATCTACTTGGAGACTTAGTGCTTGTAGAACACCCAATACACAAGTGCCCTGTCTGCCCAACCTGTACTCAGAAGATGCCACCAACCCACCATGCCAATAAGCAATGCAACAGCAGTGAGGATGAGCCCTCTTAGATCTGAACATGGTCTCTCACCACCCAGGGTTCTGAGCCTCCCCTTTCCCCAATCCCCAGCAGGAGTACACTATACCCAAGAATTTCACATTTTAGCACAATTTTATTGAGAAAAAAAGAAGAAAAAAGAAACATGCACAATAGCTGTGAAGCCTCCATGGCAAGTATTACTGTTATAGGATCAATTCCAAAATGGTCCTCCAAACAAAGGAAATCTCAATGGTGCTGAGCCCCAAAGGTTGCAGACTCAAGCAGCCTCAAGAAGTCCTGTGCAGAAGGGCCTGGATCCACTGCCAGCAGATTTGGCTAGTCCCATGGTTGCTGAGAGCTATAGCCAAGTAGGAATGAGGCATGGCATTTTTGGTTGAAAGGTGACATCAGCAAGCCATTGAGATGATAATGATTATGTTAAGATGTGCATTCAGTTAGAGATTAGACCCCTGCTGTCTGCCTAGGCCTGCTACTTTGGAGCTCTGGGGGACTCTAGGAGAGTTCCCATTGGTTGGAGAAGTGTGGTAGGAGGGAATTCCAGAGGAGGGATTTCCTGTTGTTGGAGTAGTGTGTCCTGGGAGAAGGCCACGTGCTTGGCCTTCGTGGGAGGTTTGGAAATAAAGTTTGTTCCTGCTTGAATGGCTCGTGATTTTGTGCCCAGACAGACTGCGTCACATGGTGGCTTGCAGGGGCAGAAGAAAGAAGACTCTTACAAGGATCCCCACTACCAGAGGTCTTGGGCTCCAGATTTCCATCACAGGTGCACCTGGAACAAGACAAGGGAGCCCCAGCAGGTGGTCAATGGTGGGACACCTGGGGCTTGGTCTAGGTTGAGAATGCCCTGTCCAGCACAAGAGGCTCTGTGTCCTGGGTCAAGGTGCTGTGTCCTCTGGGAAAGTCATCTTTTCCTAACCCATGCTAGGAACGACATCCTCAGGATGTGGAATGCAGGTTGCAGTGGAAGTCTTGGCAGTCATAGGAGATATCTGGCAGGTGGATGTAGAAGGGCAGCGGCAAGGGCCCAGGATATATTGAGATCAGGGTTGGTGGCCTCTGGAGCCCTGGTGCCTGGTCTGCAGAATTCCAAGCCTGTGGCACACAGCAGGGAAAACAATACTCTATGGCTTTGTGGGCCTCAGATCAGGCACCACCTGGTATATGGGACTTAGCAGGCAGCAATTTGGGTGTGCTTAAACCTTTCTGGCCTCCAGGGAGTTTCTAACCACAGACTGGGAACCTGGGTGGTGTTGGCTTTAATCCTGAAAGGAAATCCCATCACAAAGCTTAGTTAATGAGATTAACAACAACAACAAAAATCTAGCATCTGTCAGTTTTTTGTAAGTGGGAGGCAGTCTTGCTCCATACAAGTCACTGAAAAATAGACATTTTTCTTCTGGTTTTAGCAAGGTTTTCAGCACAATACCTAGATTCACACAACATGGTTTGGTTGTAACCCTTTTCCTTCCGGAGCTCTGCCTGCACGGTACAATACTTGTGAGTAGGAATACTTCCAAACAGTAATTTAAAAATGGGAAATGAATTTTGGGTTTCAGATCTGGTGCTGTAATCTGATTGATCTATCACTTCATACCCCACTATGTCCAACTCCTATCTTGAAAAATGAGTCACCAATATAAGAGGAGGACTTGGGGCTCTTTGGAGTAGGTTTGGTTATAATCCCT